TTATCCTGAAAATAATTCGCCTATTCCCTAAGAAGACTTTCGCAAAACTCATTGATTTCTGAATTATACTTAAGAGTGCTATATAGTATTTTTTCAAGCTCTTCATAATTCACTTTTTTTTTAAATATGCTATCTTCACTTAAATCCTGTGAAATTTTGTTTGCAGGTCAAAGAATCATCACATTCAGGAGTAATATTTGCATAATTCATCTTGAGCTTATTCTTGACTTATGTATATTAATTGGAATAAAAAATTCCTTATAATTACACTCTAGTCTCAATTCCTGCTTTAATGCAAGTAAATCATAATTATATTTATCGAGAAGTGTGTTGAGTAAGATCAGCATTAGCTTAGGATACTTAACTATAGCAAAATCAGCATATATAGTACATTTGGGAGCGAAATTTACTGAGATATTTCTAACAATTCCAAGCGACTTTGTAGGAGTAGTAGCAATGCTTCTGAGATCATGTTTTTTTTTGCATCAATTACTAGTTTTGATTATATAGAGATATTATCTGTCATAATTGCAAAATTAGTACCAGAATCAACCACAGCATTCAGAATGACTAGATGCTTAATTTTACATTTAACAGTGATGACATCTGTGGTAGGATTTTTTTTCTAAACAAAATCGATTTCTATAGGCTCATTTAAAATTTCATCTTTCTCATCTGAGTTTGGAGTTTTAGGAGTATCTGAAGTGGGATCATCTCTACCATTAACCAGTATTCTGGAAGCAGAATTCTGTGATTAAAAAAAGGCTATAATGGTATCAAACTTTTCATTAAGTATCTTCTCAAAAGTTTTCTCAATAATATTTTCCAAGCAGGATTAATTATCCTGTGACAGGAATTTTGAATTTCGTTTTTTCTTTTTTAATGGAAGAAAGGATTACTCGATTCTTTCTTCACTTTTTTGCCTTAATAATATTAATATTAATATCAGCTTCAGACTCAGATTCAGATGAAGAACTCGAACCAGAATCAGAAGAGTCATCAGATGATATATCAGAGTTAGTATCTGAACCTGAACCTAAATCTAAAGTGGCAAGATTTACTTTACCTTTTTTAGATTTACTCTTCTTTTTTTTGGAACACTTATGAGAATTGTGATCAATTTTATCACAATTAGAGTATTTATGCTTGGCTAACTTTTTGATCACATTAACCATTTAAGAGTATTTTTTGAAAAGTTTAGTGTAATTAGTATTAGCAATGTCCAATCTCCTTATTAATTCATCATTAATATAATTATCTAAGGATGTAAGATCTTTTGATGCATCAACTGATATTCCCAACTGTACTGCACGTATATATATCTTTTCTAAGACATCATTATTTTGGGTTGTATTTGAATCAGTTGAACTAACTGTGTTTCAAGGGAGGCTATTTGGGAATTTAACTTTTCAATCTTAGCTAAATTACTCTGATAATTTTGACTCTATTTAAATTGGAAGCATGCTCTAGCCACATACCTTTTAGATTTGTAAAAAATGCATTAATAGTAGCAGGAGTGATAGCTTGCATCCATGTATAAAGATTGTCTGATAAGTGATTCCTAAGAAATCCTATAGTTTGTGCATCACTATCCGTTACACCTAATAATAAAGGTCAGATTTTTTTTTCATAAGTATCTGGCGAGTCTGTAGGTAAAAATTTTTCTTGAATTAATCTTTGAAGTGCTGACTGCTGACTACCTACTGTTTCTCATTGATAATGTGATCTCATCCAAGCATGTAAAGTATCTGAAGTATTAATAGGAGCTACAGAGTTAGTATAGGGATCATTTGCTAGAACTGGTAAATATTTTCCTTTTATTTGAGCTTTATAAATATTACACTTGACAGCATCATCAAAATCTCCAGCATTTGCATTTTCAAGAACAGTTATATGTCCTTACGTGAATAATATTGATTGAATAAGCCTATTCAAAGAATCGTCAGGAAGTTCTTGGCCTATATACAGCTTATTTTTAGTAAGAATAAATGCAATCAAATTTAATACTGGTAAACATCTAGTGTCAGCCATATTTCCTAATGAATTATTCTGAAGCGCTAAAATTTGTCCATTTAAATTTAAAATATTCTAGCCTCTTTGCCTAATCACTAGCTGAAAAACAAACTTCTCACATAGTAATTTACCAATGTGAGTTTGTTTTCTTACTATAATAACTAACATTTTATTTACCTGATTTTGGGTATTAGTTTGTAACTGTTGGGTATTTCACTAAAGACAGTTAGTATTTCGCTGATACAATAGCTATTTAGCAAATTTTTCTTGTAATAATCCTTGAATACGCCTATATTTATCCCGATATGAAAACATCCAGTGACAGGATTCTCATCTCGCATTATTATAGACTAATATAGCCAAGTCCCACTCTTCTTGAGCATTGTTTCTTTCTCTCAAAGTTCTTTCAACCTGAACATAGGATTCATTTAATAAACGCTATAACTGTAAATTCTGATTTCTGCTATCATTTAACTGATTTCTAAGATCTTCTACCCGCCTGTTCTCCTACTGTGGTTGAGCAATATATTATTTTATTAATACAATAATATCTAGAATTTTGTAGCCATTTTAACATGTCAAGTCAATATGTATCTCTAACAACTATATAACCTTACTGATATAATAATTTCTTAACAAGTATGAATGTTATAAAAGATAATCATGCCATAATTGGGCTCTCTTCTTATATATTTAATTATTTCTTACTGGATAACAACGTTCCTCATCTTCATAACAAATATATCTTGATTATCCTGATTCATTTTTTATACCTAAAAACTTCATATCATTAGGAGTACCATCATTTCTCACCATCTCCCAAACTTATTTTGTCAAAGATTCTGTAATTCCTATAAGCTTGCTGGATAATTGTTGCATAAAAATTTTCAAAGTCATAATTACAGTAGTATTTAGGAATCAAGAACCCCTAAGATCGCTTTATTAATCTTTCTGAATAATATTTCGTTATAAATTAGAAGATCTAACCCAAAATAGGCAAATCAGGTTTTTATCCTGCAGGTAATACATTTCATAATTATACTAGGTGATCATGCATTGCAGATTATATACTGTAGCTATTCATTTTGTAAAAAAAATAAAGAATAAGTTATATATTGCGCCTTTGGCTAAATAATATTAATCTATAATTAACAGTTAAATTGGTTAAACAATCGTGATTTTTGTCTCATCTCTCAATCTTAATGCGAACTGATTAAGATAGTTTATAGATGATAGTAAGTTTTTCTGTTTTGCATATTGAGATGAGATAAATATTTCACTTGTATTACTTTTACAATTCGATGATTGATAAGAAGTTAGTGAAATCATTTCTTGCTTAGCAGGCGAAATACAAGCTAGCTCAAAATTTGGAACATTTAGCATAGTTACTTTAGAACATTCATTATTCTAATGATATTTCATAAAGTCTTCAGGTTTGACTTCATAGCCATATCTGCGCTATCCATTAAAATATTCCTTTTTTGGCTTTATATCATCAACCTTTATTAATTTCTAATAATCAAAACAAATAACCATTTTACTATTGTGAACATTAGGTCTGTAATAACTAATCAGAATCTCTTTTCCTGTGCAATTCTTACAGTATGTCTCAGTTACTCTTTGTCCAAATGATCTGAAAAGATAAAATACATGATAATAACTACTATATTTTTCATTAATTAATATTCGCAAAGTTGATCTTACTCGATCAGCCCATTGTTGTGGAGTTTATGCTATTTAATTATGGATAAATTATCAAATTTTTTTCTACCTCAAGTATCTTTTCAAAGTCAAAAGGAGTGCTATAGCTGATATATGCATAATAATTTTTAATATACTCTATTTCATAACCAGGGTGAAAATTAGTGGGTTTAGATACAGATTTATTAAAAATCTTGTCTAAGAAAATATAAATACATTTATTAGGTCTTGGTCTGTTAATATGGGTTCTTAACATATTTAACGATTTATAGCATTTTTAGCGAATTCTAGTAATTCTTTAGCAACTTATACTAGATAATATCATCATTCAAATTTATACAGATTTACTGATTAACGATTAGTTGATTTGTAGCTGATTTGTGAGACTACATGCTAATAAATCCTTCGATTATGCCCTTATTTAGGGTGAAATATTGGTATGATTCAGCTAAATTAGATCTGATCACCATAGACGGCTAAATTATCTTTAGCTAAAATTTATATCACATATGATCTCTCTAGTTCCCTGCCAGTTCCTTGATAGTTTTAGGAATGTTTCAGAGGCTGATGAGTTTCTATAAATCACAAGATGGTCAGCCAATCAGATTTCACCTCCCTTAATCTATTGACATGATAGCTAAGCCACCATTATTATTTAATTAATCATTGATCAATTAATTTGCCTCACAATGATCTAACATATTACTCAATATTATTTTTATAAAATGGACCCTTAAAGAATCTTTTTACCATATAAAAGAAATCAACTATAGAATTCTTTGAAGTCTAACTTCACATTCTCATCAACAAACAAAAAATAGAAATGTGAAGTATCATGCTAGTACAATAAAAAGAAGTATCTCTTTTAAAGCAAGATTGCAGAAAAAATAAATAATCAAGAAAATACTAATTACTTTACTGATGAAGCCTGCCATAAAAAATTCTTAAGTCTTATAAAAGCTTTTTACGTAAGTAGTAATTTCTTGGGTTTTATAAGGCATCTTGATAGCAAAATATGCTTATTATTAATTTATTAGATGGCAGAAAAGTATAAAAAAGGTATCAGAACCAAAAGGAGTCTAGTTGGTGAAGAAATTTACAAAGAATTCTCAACGATATTCTGGTTAAAACTGGGTATGTTTCTGTAGAAAATAAGCTGGTAATTATCTCTAAATTAACACAATTCTATCCATCAACATTCACTAGAACTTCCATTGGAAAAAGCTGTTAAGGAACCCTCTAAATCATCATCACTCGTAATATCAAATTCATTAACCATTGAAATATCAAATACCTCTACTAGAGGTGCTTTCAACAGACCTGTGATCCCAACAATTCTTTCTTTTTCGCAAAACACGAATGTGATCAATGTCATTTTTAATTATGGCGATGCATCAAAAGAGAATTAGAGTTCTTTTTTTATTAATTGTTGGCAAAAGGGCTAATACTAAATATTCATATTTTATAACTGTAATTTATGTAGAAAATAAAAGCAAATGTAATATTCATTAATTTTAATTGTATAATAAAAAATAAATTCATTGATTAAAAAAAACACTAGGCAGGATTATTTAAAAATGAAAAGTACTTTTATTGTAAATTGGCTGGCCAGCTGAAAAAAGTTAAATACTTAAATATTCAGATATATAAGAGTTTGACATATAATAAGATTTGTTATTCCCTCATTTGTTACAAATTTATCTATTATATTTCTACTTATCAATTATGAGAAAAAAAAGATCACACAGACTAAAAATTACTACTGAAGAGAAGAATGACATATATACAAATCTATTTAAGGAAATATGATATATCATTGTACGTATAACATAAAGACATAAAAAAGACATAATAAAATACTCAAGGTGTTTCGCATATTCATAGCGTCTCAGGGTTTGGTAATTTTGCTTTATGAAATTAATATCGTCTTTTTTAAAATATGAGAGCTGGTCTACAGAAAATGAATGAACATAGTGAATTCTAAATGGACCTATAGGACTAAAAATATCAACCATTTTTCTAGCCTTTTTAATTTTATCCTTTGTCACAGCTAGAGAAGTACCAGTTGGTAAATATCTCTGAACCTCTGTATTTAACTTATTTTGTGTCCTCTTCTGCCCTTGTTCTATTAATTCATTGAGATGATTAATTACTGCTAAGCCAAATTCGTAATAGCAATAGATGGCATAGGAATCGGCTTTATCAACTTTTTGAGATAATTTTTGTAGAATCATTGAGGGTTGATCCTGAAGAATTACTTCTGATGAATTGCTATTAATTTTCATCACTTCAGTTAACACTTCATATATAAAAGCTAACAATCTTTCTTTTCTACTCATATTTTTTCAACTGAGTCATTCAAGCTGTTCAATAACATTGCTTCAGCATTCCAGACACCGTTCAGAGCGAACTGAATTTGCATGACAATATCTACAGTCAACGACCAAAATTATGCGAACATTTTTAAAATCAAAAAAATTATATACATATAATATAATAAAAATAAAATTTTAACAAAATAAATTCAAATATATTTTTATTTATTGATTTATAAAAAAATTTAATAATTAATCTTATTTCCAATTGCGGCAATTCGTCGCGCAGCTATTGATCAGTTTTTTAATATTTTAGATGAAAATTTTTCCATGCATCCTTTACATACTTTTCAAGCACTTTAATACTAGATGGTGGTGGAGTTGGTGTTAAAGAATCAGTTTCGCGAAGACGTTTAAGAATAATATAGACATGCATCCTAGCTGTTTAGCTATAGTATAACCTGACTGTCCACATTTGTAATAGCACTACGAGTTTTGGAAGTAAGTACTTTTTAAAAGAGAAAAGGTTTGAGGTATAGTTTATCGTCATAAGTAAAAAATAACGTATTGTCTGCATAATTTTGGTCGTTGACTGTAATGTGAAAAGTATGGCCACATCATGTGAGTTTATAATTTCTTGTTTGCAATCCAAACAAGGTTCAGCTTTCTGAAGAGGTTCGGAGAAAAGATTGGGAGCTACTCTATGACCCAAACTCATTAGAAATAATGCGATCGATTCCTGAGATGCCATTGAGGTGAAAAAAAAGTCCATGTTAACCTATTTATAATTACGGTGCCATGGTAAGGGTTGAATTGATAAGCCGGAAAAGAAAATAAGTTAGCATACCATATCATATGATAATCGTAAAGATTCTTCTCACTATCAACCAATAGAAGTAGGATCTATCGATTAATCATATTCGTTATATGTAATACACTTTGCTTATCATTTTATATGGTATAATAAATAAGCAATTACTCTCTTTTTTATTTATGATCGGTTATTATTACATCATGGGAGGAATATGTGTAAAAAAATACGTGAAAATAAATCGGGAGTTTTACTATAGCTTGTGATACATGCTATGTCATAATTATGATAACCGTGAAGACTCTTCTCACTTCTAACCAATAGAAATATGGGATCTACCGGCTAAGATTTCAATGACGTATACAGCGCAATATATACTACGGAAAAAGAAACGGCCTGTCGAAAGTCTCGGCAAGAATTTTACCGAATATCTTCTGCGCATTTCAGGTGATCGAGATTAGAATACCGCAGTCTCTTTTGCATAAGCCACCCACGTGATTCGAAAAAACTATACGACAATCCAGTCTATACAAATATAATATTATTTATGCTCTGTATGTTAGTATTCAAAATTGAAATTTTCACGTGATTCCACTTTGTGAACTTTAGTTCACGAAGTTTTTGCCAAGAAAAATTTCGCACAAACAGGTCGGGTGATTTTCATCATTGCGTGATTACACGTGACCCGCTTTCTCATGTACGATAAATAATAGACATTTGTTCGGAGAGGTGCCAGTCTACCGGACAACAATATATGAGAAATTGGCCTGTCATGTGATCGGCCTATTTTGTTATATCAGTAGTCGAAACTACATTGATCATTTAATTAATCACTGTAAAAAAAAATAAATAATAGACCTAAAGATGACTGATTCTTTTCCTTTCTTTGATCTTGTTCCAGTAGTCGACGATATGTATCCAGCAGATAAATATGACATTTTGTTGACAGACGTCAATTCCACAGATATACATGAAGGAATTTCAAAAAAACTAAATATAGAATACTTATCAAATTCTCATTCTGCAGAATTAAAAGAAGTAAAAGGAATCATATTTGGTCTTAATTACAGAATTTTTTTATCATTGCCAGTCAAGATCAAAAAAGAAATCAAGAACATTCACTTCCTTTTCGATACGGGAAGCCCAAGAACATACATTTGCGAGGAAGCTTTCAGTTCGTTTAAAGCAACTATTGTCGACAGAACTTATAAGACAGTGCTAGTGAACAACCGACCTATTATTGCGCTCCCACCACCACCTGGTTCTCACTTTACGGATGTAAATCTCCTAGGAATGGATTATCTACAAACATTTCATGCAAAAGTAACCATGGATTTTGAAAACGAGCAATTTTCTTTCTTTTTTGGAAAACTAAGTCTTGGAGAACAAAGTATTGGAGAACAAGGTGGTTACCATAAATCATACATTTTGAGCATTGTGGGGGGATTATTATTGTGTTTGGGTTTCTTATGTTTAGGAGAAGACCTTACCTGTTTTTTTTTCTAGTCATGTCAATTTATTTTATAATTTCTATCAATCAATTATTTGACATATTTGTTTAGAGATTAAAATCGCTGGTTAATGAAATATTTGTGTTGGGTTGGTAGTTGGTAATTTGAAATCTTTAGAAAAATTTTTTCTATTATGATCTTAACAATGTATTTACGTTGAATTTATTATCAATAAATAAATTTTCTTATCTGGTATATTGGTACTAAATTCATTCATTAGGATCGATTTTTGTGAAGATCAAAGATAACGTCAAAGTAAATTATAAATTAAATAAAAAGGTGCGGTCCTAGTTTACTTTTCAGTAAATGCGCAATAATATATTGAAAGAAAATATTATATTAGTTTAACCTGTTAACTTAATCCACTTTTCGGAAATTAGCAAGTAAAAAAAAATAAAACGAACCATCATCACAAATCCAGATTTCATAAATAACGAAATATTATATACTCTGGCTTCAAATTTATAATATTTTTTTTAACTATTATTGGTCCCAGGAGAAAATCTCAGAATCATCTTCGTCTTCAGAATCGATATTTGAGAATATTCGATTTTTTTTTCGTACGATACTGCGCCAAATTTGGCACGTGAAGATGTTTATTATTGAAAATTTATTAGACACACTGCGCCAAATTTTATTGAGGAGCGTGATGTTTAGGCATGTAACTAGTCATATTGATAATTTCACTGCGTCTATTGTACGCGTGATGATGGTCAGTGATTTCTCAAAATGCCGATATATAATAAGAAGAGCAATGTGTCCGTTTTATTTTGGAACATCCAAGAATCGAATTTGTAATAAATCTTCAGGGAATTATGATGGCTCAGATCAACAGATTCGCTCAAAGACATTTTGATCGCTAACCATATGGGATCGTGCCCCTTGAATCAACAAAGGGGACTTTTTTTTATTATTATTATTACATGAGTATCTGCGAGAAAGTTCGAGAATATTACGCGTCTACAAGATAATTTTTTCTTATGTCGCACAGCAATCATCTCAACAATAATTTTCCCGAATATCATACTGCGCATTTATTGTGATGCAAATACAATCTCTTAATCCTCACAACCATACTATACGGAATGTTATCATTGTGCTTAATGCACCTTTGCTTTATTGATTGTAAATAAAGAGTACATATCGAATCTTAGATCATGATACAGCTTCGCTTGATACAATGATACATGATACATGATAAAGTCTTATTACGTCTATTCTATCCACCTCCTGATACCCGCTATGTTCATTATACCATCACCCTAATCTAATAGTTCGTTTCATTTGTTTACATCCGTGATTAGTGACGAGATCCTTGGAATGGAAACTAGGTATTAGTCCTGAATCCTGATGACAAAAAAAAAGTGCTAAATCTCATGTCGCACAGTTCTACCAATCTGATAGTTTTAACCAAGCTGTATTGATATCATACTGCGCATTTCAGGTGATCGGTCTCACATGACGGAATTTCTATGCCACGATCGCGAATTTGAATTTATTGCTTGAAGTGAAACAAGTAAGACAATATTCTGTTCCATTTTTATACCATTCGCCATGTAATCCGTAATTCCCATGTTTTCCATTGCAAATAGGGCATGGTGAGCTCCACGGCTGAGGTGATGCAAAATTATAATTATCAATCCCTCTAAAACTATTTCGGAATTTCAGGTATGTGAAATGCTCTAACACGGATTTGATAATTAATTCTGGATCGGGTCTGGCTTCGAAAGTGATGGGCTTGAAATCAGAGGCTTGAGGTTTTTCTGATATACTTATCACAGCTTCTGATAATTGCCATGGCTCATTTCCAGTTTCTTTTTTATATCTTTTGTATAATTTGAAACGAATCTTATCTGTCAAAATACTTGGTAACCCAGTTAATTTGGTATGCCAATCTAGATAATCAGCTATTAGTATTTTAACAGACTCAGTCATTTTCCTTTTTATATAATTGCAGACAATTCAAATCCCTTTTTCTCATATAGACTATTCATACGAAAAAAAAGATTAAAATTCCCAGACTATTGTAAAGTGATGAGACTATGCAACTATCTCAATTTTACGCTGTTCACATTTAATAAAATAAGATCCTGCTTTATACCTACCTTCTATTTCTTCATCATCATGACCTAATTTGCATAATGAGCAGATATAGTTCCCGCATGATGTCTCATCAGTAATTCCATAATAATTGAAATTTTCATTACTAAATTTTCTATATAGATTAGGATATTGATCCAATATCTTATTACAAAATAAAAATGATCATAAGCTGGCTTAGATTGGGATGCAGATGATACACTTGCTTGAATATCTGATAAAATCATTTCTGGTGAAACATTCGGCTGAGAGAACGCTGATACTTCAGCTGGTATACTTTGAGATGCATTTACGATTTTTTCGCTAGTTATACAACCTATGCTTAGCAGTATGATTGGAGCAGTTGTATCACTAGTGATCATTTTCGAAGTCACATGACTCTGATCATGAACATTGTTCACGGTTTTATTGGTGACAGTTAAGTTCACTCAATCTATAATGTATTGAATTTGAAGGTTAATGAGTTTGAAAATACTGTTAGCACTATAGGTAACTCGATTAACTATATGCCATCCTATACTTTTAATCTTTTTCAAAGTTATAGGATCATAATCATATCCAAATAGCTTATTGATCTTTCTTACTTTGCTTGTTATCTTACGCAAATATTTATCAGAAACGCCTGAAAGGTATAGTTTCATTTTATTATAAATCTAGAACCTTTCTGTCTTATCTTTAAGATTTTTATCCTCAGATTTGAGCTTCATGACCTTATCTTTGAATCTTTTAGAGTAGCGACCTCAAAATGAAATCTCTTTCTGCTTAGCTTTGATCGAATTTTTCCTTGCTATACTCGCTTGATAAAATAAACAGACAAGCTCTTCTGTAACAGGTGAAGAATTAGAATACTCTCCATCAATAAATTCAGTATTAATAAATTCCCTCTGGAAATCATTCACTAAAAATCCTTGTAATAAGTCTTGTACAATTTCAATTACTAAGCCTAAATCTGATTCTCTCTGGAAAATATCCTCATTAAGTCTTTCAGGCATTTTTGTACAGAGTCTTTTAATGAAATCTTTTCTTGATCGTGAACAATGTTCACAGTTTTTGTGTTACTTTTGTTTTCATTATGATTTCTTAGAGAAGTTTCTGTAACACATGATAAGTCAGAAGGGACAGTTGACTCACGCTGAATTTTCTTCTCTTTGTTACGTTACCTTATCTCATTACTAACCCTTTCTTATGTACCTCATCCAAGAAATTATCTGTTTCTTTATTCTCTAATGACTTAGTTTCTGTGCGAATAAGTTTGCATATATTAGAATTAAATATGCTATCAGATGTATTTAATGAGTTTGCCATCTTTTCTAGTTTATTCAGGTAAACAACATTATTGGGATTCTCGACAGAACTGGCATTGGCTGATGATTGTTTAATTTTCTTGATATCATCATCCATTTTGGCAATAAGGTTGATCTTTTCTTTATCTCTCTGCTCTAGTCTCGTGAACCTAGCTTCATATTCTTCTAAAGTGCATCTTAATTTTTGCATTCTCAGCCTTGACCTCTGCATTCTCATCTATAACCTTGATATATTTGACCTTAACCTCAGCACTCTCAGCCTCAAGCTCAATGATGCGTTGTTTCAATGAATCAAGTTCAGATGATATGATAATATTTTAATATTCTATAATGCTAGTATTCAAAATCAGAAAAATATGTAGGCCATTTTAGCTGATCGTGAACATTATTCATAGTTTTGCCAAGAAATTTTTTATTATTACATGTGAAAAAATAAATACATAGTTTGGGACAAATGTTTAAGACAGCACCAGTTAGTACTCTGAAATAATATATTCCTTTCAGCTATGATAAGACTCTAGTTACCTTTTTCTTTCAAAACGATGATAAATTTTTTTAGCATGCTTGAAGCAATAGCCCGTATAAGATAATATAAATTTATTGCATATTTTACATGAAGATTTTAGCATATTATTTGCACCTGATTTTCAGTGAAACAAACATCTTGCCAAGAGGATGCAGACTCGGCTACAAGCACTCCCATCTCTTTTGATATAAGGACAGGTTATACGATCTATCTAAAGTATTTAGATTATATTCTTTCTTCACTTTTATTATAAAAATTTGATTTCAAATTATAAAAAAATCTGAATTGAACTGTGGTGAAAAAAGTATATCATAAACGATTAATCATATACAACAGCATAAATCATGTCATCTATGAACTTAGAAAAAATGGTACTCAACATTCTAACCAGCTGATAGATCGATCTAAACAGAAAGCTATTCTAGAAGTTGATTCGTAAAGGCTATAAATATGTTGATAGACTCTCAGATTATTTAGAAGACATTGGAATCATATATGTAGATGAATTTGAGTTGGATCCCTTAACCGACTTCTACCACTCAGCTCTAATTCTGCTTTTATCTATCCTAGCTAGTAGATCAGGTATTTGTATAAAGTTTCCTATTAGTGTAGAATTTGCTGTTATAGGAGGAATGAATTTATTCACCCTTGAAAAAATAAACAATCCTTACTTCAGAATCTAATACAAATGAACTATTCCAGTGACAACTTAACTACGTTAATAGGAATAACTTAGGAGCAAAAAGAGATGAAAACTTGAAGGGATGACATACTTAAAAAATTTTTTCATCATCCAAATTTAGTATTTTCAAGATATAAACTGAATGCATTATATAATGCATTCACAAAAGCAGATGTTTTAGAGTCAGAGCATGTATTAGCTCTGTCACAGCTATTCAGTTAAAATTTGATTACAATACAAATTTGTTTATAGTCTTACAATGGCAGTTCTATGACTATACATATCATATATACCTGCAAAATTCAATTTTTTTATTAATATATGTGAAAAATAAATACAAATGTTCATTATATATGATTATTTTTTTGAATAATATTCCTCTATCCTAACCATTTTTCTATCAGATTCTTTACCCACATATTCTAACCTATCTTTTAATAGCCTAACGATGACCTCCATAACCTATTTCACATTTTTATATAAGTCTTTTTTTTCCTCTGATCCTTTCTTCAAAGCTGATTCAGTAAATCAGATATTGATAGGGTCCTTGCTTGTACTTGATATTCCATCTGATGTGAAAAGAATAAAATACTAATCTGAGGTTGTTATAATGATGTCATATATATAGTCAAAGTCTTCCCTGAACGCTTTGTCAGACTTACACTTCTTATTCTTTTTATTAACTTGCAGGACACTTTCACATTAGACCAGATTTTGGGCAAAGTCCATAGTTACTTGATGCAACTTCCCTTCTATTATGCAAATAAGTTTTTCGAGGGCCTTGATTGTGTAATCGACCTGGCCAGTACTTTCTACTCCAACGACCTTAAGCTAAGGAACTAAGGTAAGCTCTTCTTTTCAATTATTCTTTTAACAACATAAAATGAAGTGTGAAGGATAGTTGAAATATATTCACAGCGTATAGTTCATTGCTATCGACAAGTAAGATACCCATATTTTTTAATTTATATTTTATTTCCTTTATACACTACACTAACTTCTCATCATCATCTTCGAGTTTGTAGGTTGCCTAAAAGATTATATGGTATTAATAGTTGCATATAAATTCTGCCGAAAATATTAAAGGCAAGACTATATGGTATTTAATAAACTTACTGGCAAAAATTGACGAATAGTGCCTATACCATTGCCACCAATACTATATTTCGCTAACACCTCCTTCAAACTATGGTATGAGAAAAATACCCTTAATTTTTTCTCTTACACTCTTTAGCGAAGTCTGCAAGTACTACGGTTGTTCCTATTTTAAAATCCACTATTTTTAAAATCTTGTTTATCTATTTTGAGAAAAGCTCAACCAACTATTTCTCATTTGCGCAAAATTTCTAAATGAGCATCATTAAGAAGTAAATCCTTTTCCTTACGCAAGAAATCTATAAGCTTAGCCATGTCATATTTTTTAATTTTGTCTGCCAATGAGACCGTCTCATTTCCAGCAATAGTAGTAGAGGTGGAAGTGGATGTATCTACTATTTCAGATATAGTGTTAGGTTTTATAGTGAAAATAGGCTTAGATAAAAAAATAGTGTTACGTTTCAGAGTGAGATAAAATTTATTTCTGTTCAGGAAAGAAAATACTGAGCGTTAATATAAGTTTTTATGTCGCACAGGTATTACATCATTTAACGTGACTCACTTTCTCGATGTACTGATAAAATAATACTTTATTTATGAAATAAATCATTGCCAGTAACTGGTCTACAATACATAAAATTTGCAACTATAGTGCTATATAATACAGAAGATTATTCTGACTGAAAGTATACAGTAATATAGAAGTACTCTGCTTTAGGCTCCTCAGTAGAAGTAAAAATTTCATCAAACATATTATACCTATCCATTTCCTTTTCAATATCGCTTCTGGCTTGAATTATACAGAATTTAGGAGGGATTTTATTAAATGGTGTTTCCAATCTGCTTTGAATTACAGTCTCAAGTTCTCTATAAGTACTAGCTTTATAAATTATAATTGATTGCATTACTTTAATGCATGAAATATTCATAAGTTTTCCTATAGGAACGATAAGACAATTGAGAGTGATTTCGATTATTTTATTTTCCTAAATATAAGATCTATAGTAAGAAATTCCTTGGCCCATTCGCATTAAAGAATATATACTGTACATACCTTATTTTTTTCACGAGAATGTTGGCTGAACTTCCATATACCTCTACATGCTTTATATCTTGCTGGGAAAAAGATAAGGAGATAAAAAATAATGATTAGCATTGTCATATAATGTTAAGAGTTCTATGAAAGCACATGTAAACGGAATCTTTATATCTCTTCACATGTAGATCTACCAGAAAGACATATACTTGATTTTATGCCTGGTGATCTCAAAATTGCAAGTCTCTCAGCCTTTCATAACATATGCTTTTATCAGCACCATTTGCTTTTAGGGTAAGTCCTGTATTGCAACTAGACGCTCTTTCATATTTTTCTCATGTTTGTTTGGGAAAAATAAAGAATAAAGGTTAATATGTTTTCTTTTCGAATATATATGCAAGATTAATGTTACATAAACTTTGTCTATTGATCGCTTATTTTTATCACACATGAGTACATATAGCAAATTCTTCTAAACTGGTGATCACTGCTCTGGACTACCTTCACTCAGATTAGTTATCCAATGTATACCTCTCAATAAGTATTGTATCCCATTCAGATTAGCAATACTGGACTGACTAATATAATCTTTAAATCCAGTTATAATACCAGTCACTAATTCTTTTTTCACCTAAATAAGCATTTCTACTAATTCACGATAATAATCATTTTTTGCAATACATCTCATATTTTCTTGTATTAATCTACTATAGAATTCACTTCTAAAATGATCTTTATAAAGTTTGACGATATCATTACATTTTTTCGCCTTTAAACAGTAATTCACTATTGATTCTTCACCTTGAATAAGCAATTTATATTGGGGTTTCTCAATACCTTCTAACCATATTTCCCATCAAAGTTTATGCAAATAATATGACAATTCTATCAGACTCAAAATATGTGAAAGATAGAAAGCATCAGAATGTATAAATATATGGAATAATGATGATGAATTTCTTATATTGGGCAGACTATGTACAAATTGCTTAAGCGCTTTCTCCTTCTAATACCTAACTACCTTTGTGTTCTAATAGATTTTGATTTCACAAAAAAGATCATCCCATCCTTTCCACTCTGATATAAATCCAGGATTTCCTTCATTATCCCATTCATATCTTAATCCATATTCTTTGATAAATTCATCATAGCCTTCTTTTATCTCGGTATCTATCTCGTCATCTGACATTTTGCTAGTAGATTGATTAAATATTTTCAATCAGAAAAATAGGTTAATCATTGCTTGTTTCTGTCGCACAGGAGTACATGCATTGTGACTCAGCAAAAAAATTCTTCTGAACTAACGATCACTACTCTGGATTAGTTAGATCAGTAGACTACCATCAGCTAGTATTCTATTTTGGTGATCGTCTGTTAGGTTGCTGGTATATCTAATTTAAAGCTTGCATCATAAATAATGTTTATTATATGTTATATCTTCAAACAAAAAAAAATCTTCTGAGCTGATGATCACTACCCGGGTTAATGATCAGTATTCCAGATCAAATCACCCTCTATTCTTCTCAGTTCATCATTAACATATTCATGTATAGACTTAATATCTCTTGATGCATCAACTGATATTCTCAGTCTCCTTGACAGTACATACATCCTAGAATATTCATAAAGAGAGGGTGGTGTTATAGTATACATGAAATTCTCAACATGAAAATTTGGATTAAGTGAAACGAGTTGACCTATTGCTTCTTTGCTAACATCACACCCTTTCAATTTGAGATACTTTAAATTAAGACACGAACTAGCAATTTCTTTGATAATCTCATTAGTAAATTCACAATAGTTAAATTTAAGATATTGAAGCCTTGGGCAAGAATGGATAATATCACAAATCGATATCCTAATAATCTCTGTGTGATAAAATATATTTAGATATTCTAGTTTATGACATGACTGTGCAATTGTATATAGACCTTTATTAGTCACTTTCCCATCATCAGAGCTTTTGTATCTACTCTTTTGCAAATTAAGATACAGACCCTGGCGAAAGTAATGGCACTCAGTTTTTTAATAATTTGTGCACAATTTTATAATAAAAAATCAAAAAAAAATTTTATTTTTTAAAAGACCGATCAAAATTACATATATTTTATTAATTAATTAATATTTGGTATAGTCTTCTTTTGCGTCAATACATGCTTTAATGCGACTTGACATACTGTTAATGCAGTTAACTATTGCGATATTTTCAATATCATTCCATTCCTTTCTAATTAAATTTAAAAAAATTTCTTTTGAGATTTTTTTCCTTTATGCTACCATTCTCTTGACCTCTTTCTCAACATTTTTCTTTAAAATAACCCAAACATTCTCAATAGGATTAAAGTCAGGGCTATAGGAAGGCCAAGAAAGAACCCGATCCAGAAGGTGAGTTTTTAAGTTACCTTGAACATTACGGAAAGTATGTTTTAAGTCATTATCTTGCTGAAAGTCCCATCGGTTACCATGTATTGCACTTGTATTATTATATAAATGTTCATTCAAAATTTGGCGGTATAAATGACAATCTAAATTTTCAGTGAACATGTATATGCCAATTTTTCCCTTAACGCTGATTGCACCCTAAACATGAACTTTAAATGAGTATTTTACCATCAGAGCAATAGGTTTTTTGTCACGTGATTATACTGAAAGGGTATTATAGAACATTTGAAGTGTAGTTTCATTAGAAAATACCTTTCTGTGTCAAAAGAGGAACTTTTCTAAAACGAACAGATACAAATCCAAGATTTTTTAGCTCACGATGAATGGTCTGTTTACTAACTTCAAGCTCTGGGTTTTTTTCATTAAGTTGGACCTTCATTTCACTTGCTGTAGTGAAATGATTATGCTTAACGATCATTTCAATTTGGCGGCATTTTTTAGGAGTCAATTTTCATGGTCGACCAGACCGATAACCTATAGTAATCTTACCAATTTTCTTTAATGAACTAACATAACGATAACAGGAGCATAAGGGAATACCTGTTCTTTGTGAAATTTCTCTTGCATTTTAGATTTTTCGCTACCAAAGAAGGTTAACAGCATTTCAGTTTCTTTCAAAGGTGGTTAATATCATTTTAAATGAAAAACATGAAGAAATTCATTTTTTTCTACAACTTTTTTTTGTTTATTTATTAAATATTATTTATAAAGAATACTTTAGAAATACTGGAAAATTCTAGAGTAAAAAATAAACATGCTACAACTCGAAAAATAAGTAGCACTTATAGTGCCATTACTTTTGCCGGTGACTGTACTTCAGATTGGGATATGTTTCTACTACTTGATTTAGTATTTTATCGCTAAATCCTGTGCTAAAATTTAAATCCAAATAGACTATATTTGGGAATAAATGCGTAATGCAATTGAAATTTTTATTTAAAAGTGAATGGTAGTTTAAAATTTCTAGATGAGTTAAATTTGAGCTATAAACCGGTTTTTATCTTTTTCATATTATTTTTATAAATTTTTTTAATTGAAAGTGGCATTTATTTTTCCACTTTAGTTTAATGCGTTTCCATAAAATAGAGGCACCGCATCTGTACCATAATCAAAAAATAAATAAAGAGAGATATAGTGACTTATCTATTGCTAAGAAATGTAAAATTTGTTCTAACAGTTCTGATAAATAAAAAATACTTAATTGCACCATAAATAGTATGTATTGTATATTACATCTTCAAATGAAAAAAAAGTTAGGCCTACTATCTTACTACTTCTAAACTGAACAAAAAAAATCAGATTAATGATTATCACTTCAGACTATGGGTTGAACTGGGAAAAATCAGTCATAGCTCAGATTTAACTATCAGATAATATCGAAATATAATTTATTTCTTTGAACGAAATCGTAAAATTATTGCTTATTGATAGTTTTGAATTACACACATCAATAGTTACATTATTTTCTCATAATCATGGTACCTCCAAGAGTACTTCAGGAAATTGATCAGGCCAATCTGATCCAACAACTATGAATTCACTAAGTATGCTTTTATACTTCTCACCATCATTAAAGGTAATATTTAGATTAACCTTTCCTAGTGTAGAATAAAATCAAACCCTATCCCAACTTTTACTTTAGAATTACTATCATCTTTTTTATATACCATTTTCATATCATCAACACTTTTCTCACATATACAATTTACATTAGTACTTATGTCAAGCATTATCTGAGTGGGGTTATTTTCTTTAACTGCGCAATTTACAAAGATCATTTTATTATGACATATAATATTCAAATATAAAAAATAAACCTCTATTCACTGCTCTGTCCTAGTTAGATTGATAGAGTACTACCATTCTGTTTTATCAGCTAGCAAGTTATCAAAAGCTCTCACCATTAAGATAGAAATAATACCTTGAGTTAGCGATTGTCTGTCTACAGCTATCCCTTAAATTTCACAAAATGTTAAATTACTAATTAATCCCATAGAACTTTATCCACAATCTCTTTCAAGGATAGGATGTAAATAATAAAAAATATTTGAAGTACCTATCTCGATAAAAAATAGCGTTCACTTCTAATCTCTAATCTCTTTATTAATTCGTCATTGATATAATTATCTAAAGATGTAACATCTCTTAGTATATCAAGTGATATTTCTAAATATCTTACGAGTACATACATTATGTCTAAGACTTCATTATTTTGAGAGAATGCCTGAATCAGTTGTTGAGCTAGCTAAGTACTAAGAGAGACTGATATTATAGTATTCTCAAAATTCTTGACATGAGTATTTGGATTAAGTGAAATGAGCTGATCTATAATTTCTTTACTAATATTATTACACCCTTCCAAATTTAGATACTTTAAATTAAAATATGAACCAGCAATTTCTTTAATAGTTATATCGGTAATTTTACAAAAGCTAAGGTTGAGATGCTGAAGCCTTAGATAAGAGCGAATAATATTACAAATTGATGTTTCAGAAAACTCTATGTGTCTAGAAATGTTTAAATATTCTAATCTATAGCATGAATTTGTAATTTTCCATAGATTTAGATCATATACTTCTTGAGTACGAAAGCTCCTAAAATCACCTGACTGATCATTACACAGATTGAGATACTTTAGATTCAAGTATGAACTCGCTATCAGTTTTAATGCTCTATTACTAAATCCTATGCTATTTATGAAACTCAAATGGGTTATATTTGGGCATGAATGTACAATGCTTATGATTTTTTTAT